GTTCAGGGGATCTCGTAGTCGAGCAGTCTCGACTAGAGCTTTCTTACTTGTTTTTACTTTTCTTTTATTTTCGGCGAAATTAGCCAGATCGATTTGTCTCTATTGCTCGATACGCTACAATGTACATACATATGCTCGCATATTATAACGTATATAATACTTAGAGTTATATGTATAGCTCTTATTCTTGAAATGAAATGGAAATTATTACCTGCTGATACTGATAAAAAATGTACATTTGCATATACATATATGTACATATACTTGTTGGCTCTAAAACCTAATATCTTGTCCAATGTTTATGTAGCATATGAAAATAATTTAATATTTTTTATTTATTCTACAAAATTAATATGTAATCCTATATAAATTATATAAAAATAAATAACAATACTTAAAACGAAATTCTTTAAAGTTTATTTGAAATTCAAAAATTAAATTATTTCAATTTAAACTAATTGAGTGCAAAAATAGTAATTATTGCTATTATATTAAATTATATTTATATATCTCTTAGCTAGTATAGTGCTAGTGTTATAAAACTAAATATTCAGTTTGGCTCTAAATTTAAAAATATATGTATATTTCTATAATTAAATACATTCATATAGAGCAATTTATTTTATTTTTTTAAATGTTTCAAATCGGACTCTCGTAACTTGCATAGCTTAGCAGCTCGAAATACTCTAAGATATTTTCACCTTTTGCTTAAATTAGCAATATTGTAAGGTTTTAGATAGAACTAAATTTCTTTGAAATTTAGATAAGCAAGTATTTACCATATACTATAGTGCTATAGCATACAGATGCCTCTCAGTTAAGAAGAGTCGAGCTAAAATATTTATGTATATTGCACAAGTATTTGTTGTTTATTTGCAATGAATCAGTTTTATAGAAAGCGAAACTTAAATTGAAATGCAATGTACACAAGAAAATCTTGAAAAGAAAAGCGAATGCCTAACAACAATATAACGCAGATTGACATACAGATATTTTTAAATATATATATTTACATATATTAATTATTTTGTACAATTTTAAATAGAAGTTAGATTTAGATAAAATAACAATCCAGGCTTTAAGTATGCTTGCGCTTCAAGAACAAGCATGAACTAGCATTAAGTTTATGCATCTAAAATTAGTTTAACACCTATGCATGTATGTAAAAGCTAATCCTCATCTAGATGATCTGGGCTGCGGGGGCGTGTGGCTTATCGATAAGACTGTGCTGGGCCTCCATGTCCTTTTCCAAGTGCTTGCCAAGCTTCGCATGATCCGCTTTCAAATAATAGAGTGGCGAATCGAGGTGCGCATATTGCTCGGAGGCGACTTTCTTGCGTCGTTCGCGTAGAAAGTGTAAGCGCACATAATTGATGGGCAGGTGGACGGCCTCGGCCCCTGAGCCCTCAGCATCGATGAATACACCACGCACCAGAATCGAGTTGGAGCATTTGAGTGCGGCCAGGAGTAGAAAGGGAACGATATGCGTTATCCAGAAGCTCAATATACGATTGTCTGTAAAAAAAAAAAAAACAGAATTTTATTCAGCTGCATAGATAATGCTTTATATTTCATATTCACCTGGATACAGGTAAACATCGAGCAAATTCCAAATGCCACGCCAGGCATTTACAGCACCGAAAAATGTCATCAGATAGTAAATATCGCATATGATTATCTTCAATAATCCGCTAATTCGTCGGCAAACGTAGCGCATCAAAGGTTGTATAATGAAGGTAACAAAGACCGTTAGGTAACCGATCAGCTACAGGTGAGAGTCAGAGAGGGATAGAGATATATACCCATTAGAAATACTTTTTAGGAAGCTTAAAGCTTACCAACGATCCCCAGGCGGACTTTGCCTTATCTCGCGGGAACAGAGTCAAATCAAAGATGCCCCAAACGCCACGCCAAGCGATGACCACGAGGCTGCCAATAACAAACACCGAGAATAATGTGTCCAGCACGTAGAGGCCGGGTTGAGCGAAGCCCTAAATGAATTGATACAAGCATGTCAATTAATAATAAATTAAGCTAAATAAATAAATGCAATTCGTTTGCTGAGGGTCTGTGCCCAGCCAAGATTGATAAAAGGACAATAAGCCTGTTTCTATCCACCTGAGGTGCTGACAGTCAGCGCAGCAATGTTCTTGAGCAAGCAACTTGCTTACGCACCGTCGTATTCTATTTTGATGATCCACACGAAAATACTTATAAGGCCACAGATCTTGTGCTTGGTCGATATGTGCCGACGTTGCCGGCGGAATCGGAACTAATGAATGCCCTGGTGAGCATCTATCCCGTCATAAGATTTACTAGTTTATGTAACTGTATTCGCTGCTCATAGCGCTGGCAACAAATGATATTAGTTTTTGTTCAGGATCCGCTTAGCTTGGGTATTTAATAATCATATCTTAGCATCGTATTCCAGCTCGGGTATCGATCGTTCCGTTCTTATTTTCTAATTTAAGCAATTTCCTTCTTAGAATGAGGGGTTTGCATTACAACTAACAAGGCATAAAAATCCTCAGTTGTTCACATACTGTACCTCATACAGAGCGACTTTAACTATATGTGAAATATGGTATCTATCACGATCTTTGATTAACACTTTCCCTAAGTCAAGCTGCATAGCCACTCGTTGTTCTCAGGTATGTACATATAAAGGATGATGGAGTGTGATTGGAATAGTACATCTCCTAATCGGGCATTCACAACTCATTCGAGTAGATTGTGCTAAAATATTCAGATTTTATTCAAATAAATTGAGAAGCTTTTACATTAAGGAATAACTCTGAACATTGTTGATTGTTTGTCTAGAAAATATTTGAAATAAATAATACTGATCGTCTGTCTGACTGAAAATGGTCAATTTTTATTACACATTAAAAAAAAATAAACAATTTAATTATTTAAAACCTGATTAGATATGTAATATTTTTTATTACCATGTTTTTTTATTTACTATAAAATATTAAGATTCATTTTCTGATTGTGGCTGCTAAAAAAGTCAATTCAATTTTCATAATACGAGCCCTGTCAATAGGTTTTATTAAAGAATCTGATCTCATGATTCTTATGAGCTCAGTAAATTTATTTGGAACCATATTATTTAATAACCTACAACATTTTTTGCTAGCTATTGTGGATAGTATCAATATTTCTCTTCACATTTTTTTTGTGATGATTATAAGTAAAAGAGATTTGCAATGTACACGTGAAGAGCCGGAAAACCCCAGATCCGAGTGTGATTTATAAGTTTTAAACCATATGGTTATTCTCGATATCCCATATATGTATGTATAAGTAGTAATTATATTTGATCTAGGTCTTATGACTTACCGGTATTTTGAACATGGTGTCCACCTCAAAGTAGTCACTCTTGTGGTCCATGGTGACAGTGTAGGGCGCCGCACCCAGGTTACGCAGCGTCCGAGTGCCCACCAGGAAGAGCAGAGCCACGAGAGTGACCACGGAAATGATGGCCAGGGAATCGATGCTGGTTAACCAGTCGCAGACCATCCAAGCCCCGCGCCACATATTCACACAGACCACACCGAAGACGGCGGTGTAGAGGCGCGAGATGGCATAGTAGGTCAGCCGCCTCTTGTCCGGATGTATGTGATCCTTGAAGAAGTTCTGTGTGATGGTGAATATGAAGTGTCCCAGGCCGCCGATGGCGAAGGAGGCCAGCGCCGAGAAGGGCAGACTGTTGGGAAAGAGCAGCACGCCCATCAGCTCCCAGGTGCCGCGCCAATAGGCGATCACGCACGGCGCTACGACTAGGCAGGATAACAGTACATCCAGCACCTCCAACAGCAGTTCGTGCAGGTTGCGTCGCGGGGTCTCGGCCGAATACTTTTGGCTGTGCACCGTGTGGCTGCAGGTGTGATGCATGTTCAAATGCGGATGGCCGAGCTGTTGTTGTTGTGGATGCTGTGGATGCTGTGGATGCTGCTGCGGATGCAGCTGCGTGTGTGTATGCTGCTCTGAAGTCTTGCGGCTGCCAATGATAATTGGCGTCGATGTGGTCGTTATGCATTTGTCCGTGGACAGCATGTTGTTGTGTTCCTGTTCCGTCATTTATCGGCCTGTCTTCCAGTCCAAATTCTCTTAGCTTTGCTAATTTATGTGATCTCTGTGATTTGAGTTTCAGCGTTTGAGTTTCTTCTCCTGTTTAGCTGCACTGGCGCTCGCCCTGAACGGCTCTCAACTGTTCATCGGCGCTTTAATACTGTTTTTGCAGTGGGTTCGGCTCTGGCGATTCGCAAATGCTGACATTGTGTGTTGATTTGCCTGCCAGCTACACTAGCAGCTCATTGGGCTCTTCCTCTTTCTCCTTATCGCTACGCCGTTGCACCGTTGCACTGATAATAATCCAGCACTGATAATTATTATACTAGTTAACTAACAGCCAGTCAGACTGTTTTGTCCAATCGCCGTTTCCCCAGCAGTTGCCTATTGTGGATTGTGTAATCCGCATCAGCCATAGACAAACGCTCAGCTCGTCTGCTCGTCTGCTCGTCTTTCTCTCTGTCTGTCTGTTGTCGATGTTTGTCGGCCTGCAAATGCAAATTTTGATTTCAATTTACATACTTTATGGCAATAATTGAGTTAACACCGTGATTAGTTTGAAGTTTATTCTGATGTTTGCTAAAATGGGCAAGCCGCATGCAGACTTTTATCAGGGGATTCATTAGATCTTATCTTTAGCACAGCAATCTATCTATCTATCTTTTTAGCTATCTCATTAAAGCGGCAATAATAATAAGATACATACATACATAGTTTACTTTTTACTTTTTTCATTCATCTTATCAGCTGCTTTCCAGATGAAAATCTACTCGGATAATTACACAACATGAAATATATATAGATATATGCATTGTTATTATCTTGGCAAGCTGCATTTAATACCTGAAATACCTTTTAGAAGGCTATTGTTAATATATGTATATGAATCAGGTGGCATGATCTATATTCACGATCAAGATAAACGGTTGAAGCGTTATAGCTTTGTCGGCTTTTCTATAGGCATAAGACCGGTAATCTTTGACCTTATGTGCGATAGAATCATACAATTCTACATACTCCTCTAACATTCTAAGATCAAATTTATTTCATTGCCTATTTAATTTGCTCAAAATAGACTAATATCAGATATTAACATCAACCTTTCTTTCTCATAGTCATTCAATTCAAGGAAATATAGCCACAAAGTCTAGCAAGTATGCTTTTGTACAGTATATTCTGATCAATATTTAATTTACAATTTTTCAGGTATCTTTAGGATGGGTATAGTTGGGACAGTTTTGCAAACGAAAAAATAATGCTATGTGATAAGGCACAATCGCCTATAAATAAAACAGTTATATATACATATGTACTGAAAACGAGGTTTTCTAAATTTACTACGTCTGAAAAGATGGATCATATAGTTATTAAAACTATATCTATAATGCATTGAGTAAATCAAAATATGGTACCCGAAAGATAAATGGCAATCGAAATGAACCAATTAAAATTCTTTGTCAAATTTGGAATTAGATCTATAAAATATGTATATGTATGGATGTCTCACGAATATTTATGATCAAGGGTATTCAAATATCTAATCAGATTTTCACGCATGCTCACTGGAAAAAAGCAACTGATTAATACAAATTTGGGTTCTGCATGTCTAATTAGATTGTTTATGACTCTGGCTGACTTAGGTTTCCGGCTTGGATCTTGGGCATAGGCGAAATGCTCTCGAATAAAGGTGTTTTGGTTATTATTATTATTCTTGTTTGTTTGGGGGTCAACAAAAAGGCGATGTGAATGCCCCGAGTAGTCCAGTATGAATCGCTTCAGTCAAGTACTTAATGGATTCAATTTAAGACGAGCTTAATACTAAATTGACAGAGACTGACAATTGAACTGGCTTGCGTTAGAGTCTTCTCAGGGAGGCCTTGCTGGCATAGGTTGATTAACGTTTAGGGCTCGAGGTGCCAGATTTAGTAACCATGTTCCAATAAATGATGCTCACACTCACACAGCAACTGAACTCAAGAGGAAAACTGGGCTCTCTATAAAGATATGTATGTATATTTATAAAACTTGGTTTGTATGCCCGTGTGTCTATATATAACATATGTTTCGGTTGCTCAAAAGTAAACACGCGATGCTCGTTCGCTCGTTCGGTGAGTGGCGCTAATTAGAGAAACTTATAACACATGCATGAATTAAAATGATTTAAGTGACGCAGGATGTTTCTGATTTGCTGCTCGGCTATGGTGGCGTATGCGCAATAATTAAAAATGGCATTGGATGTGGCTATGGCTATGGCTATGGCTATGGCTCTTGTTATGGCTCTGGCACTGTGGGTCTGCTTCTGGGGCTGTCTATTTGAAGGTCTATCAAATGCTAATGCTGAAATGGCATTGCGACATGGAAATAGAAGCGACGTTTGCTTTTTTGAGTTTGGGTCAAGCGCACTCGCATTCGCATTCGCATTCACATTTATGTAAATCTGATGTGGTGAATTTTTGTAAATAAATGGAACTCCCGCTGTGCAGCTCATTAAGGTAGTCATTGCTCAGCAGGACTTCCTTATCATATTTGGGGTCGCTTTTCGTTGTTGATTATAGTGCATGATAATTTAGATCAAATCAAGCATTGCATACACGCATTTCAAGATTAAATATAGATCTGTATAGAGAGTGAGAGAGACAGAACTTGATAGATCCGAGTCGAATGTCTCTATCCCAGTTTACATTGTACTCCAATTACCTCAGCTAATTGAGCAGCAGCTCGGTGACAATGGAAATGTCGCGCTGCCTTGCAAATTGCAAATTTATGCATTATCAGATCGGCCTCCCTCCTCCCACACACTATCTCTGCCCAGCCTTGGCTAATTATATGGGCCAACAAATTCAAAGGCGAATCTATGTTTATACACATCTCTGTTCGCCTCTAATCGAGTATTTGCTTTGTTCAGCAGTTAGACAAGTTGTTGGATTTTATGGCTTGCCTGCGAGATTCTTGTGCAAATAGTTCGAGATTTGCACAAGACTTAGATAGAGTTGGGTAAACGCGTACAATTGTTTGCTTTTATACCCTACATTGTGTGCTGTAATAGCATTGGCCTATAATACTCGTTAAAACATAAATATTATACAATAACTATGGACAAATCGTGAGTCGGCACTTTAATGAATTATATGTGATAGTCAACATGAAAGAAAGAAGTTCTGACCTAATTAAATGGAGCTTCATTAATATGTTGACCTGTTTG